GGGGGGGGGGGTGTCTCAGGGACATGGACCCAAATCACTGTCTAAAAAGTGAAATATATACCATCAAGAAGAGTCCATTAGCCCACGTCGGGTGTCTCAGTGGGGCCTGTACACCAAAAAGCTTTCGAGTTGGATTCTCTGTTAGGGCACATACCTAGGCTGAAGGTTCAATCCCAGGCTGGGGCAAATATGAGAGGCAACCGATCAATGTATCTCTCTCACATCGATGTTTCTCTCTGTCACTTCCTCTCTCTCTAAAATCAATAAAAGCATGCTTGGGTGAGAATAGAATTAATAATAATAAAAAAGAAGGGTCGGTCATTCCTGCAGTGGCCAGCAGTCTGTCGGGATGCTTCCGTCTTTTTAAAACCGTGCTCTGAGTCTCTGGGAACCTCTTTTCTCCACAGAAATACAACAATTATAGGCTAATGGGCTAGGGCATTGGACTGTGCTGAAGGTACAGTTCTGCCTGGTAGTGACAGTTCTAGTCCAAAATGGGCCTCCCGGGATCATAAAAAAAAAAAAAAAAAAAGAGGCTTTTGATGGGAGAACAGAACACAGGGTGTTTTTTATCTCTTTCAAAGCAAGCAGGCCTTCCTTCCCCACGCATCCCCCCCAGAGCTGTCAGATGAGACAAGAGACAGCCTGTGAGACGCCCTTGACCGGGGCCCAAGGCTCCAACGCAGGATTCCAGGTGATTTCAATATAAGGGGGAAAGATAAGAGAAATGCCTGTATTTCCCTGCCTTGGTTAGTGACTCCTTTAGCAAGCTTGTCAGAACAAAAGCGAGTCGGGAGGGCGGTTTGCTCTTGCCGCCGCTCTGAGACGGTCGCAGAAAGGGCGCTGGCTCCCGGCTCTGCTCCTGGCGATCTGAGTGACCCGGGCAAGTCACTTAGCCTCCCTGAGACTCGGGGTCCTGCTTGTAAAACAGGAGTGACACTATCCAGCCCCGGGTCATGACGACGGCCAAGTGACCAGCTATAGGAAAGGGCCCGGCCCGCGCCGTGCGCCCTCAGGGTTCGCAGCGCTCTCCTTCCCTCCTGAGGTAGGTCGCGCAGACATCCCTGGCTGCTCCCAGCGTCCCAAGGCTGTGCCCGCCGAGGAGCCCCCGGGAGCCAAGCGGATTCCCCGACGTCCGACCTAAAACCCGAGCCCCCGCGCGCCGTCTGAAGTGGGCGGGGCGCGGGCACCGGGAGTCCCCAGGCGGCGCTGTCGGGTCCCCGGGCGGGG